TGTCTAAATGCAGAGTCATGGATAATGTCCTTTTATACGTAATTCTGTTTGCTAATTATGCCTGTACACCAAGCACATCAATTTCTACCAGTTTCTCTAATGAGTTATGACTGTCATATACAACTTACAGCCTACAGTCACACTTCATTGTGGAGGCCAGTGAAACAACTGTTCAGTGGTGGACACATTGCTAAATAGCCAGGAAGAAAATCTACCAGGATGCTGCACATTCATAATCTGGGCATTTTACCTGCCGTCTTATTTGAAGTTGCAAACCAGAGACATTTCCTCAGCTCTGAAGCTTGGTAACCTGTGCAGTTACAGGGTGTGATTATGCACCTTTCCTGTGGAAGCAGCTGTCAAAAGCAGTATCGAAGAACCTTGCAAACTGCCAGTACTATGGTTCAAACTAAAGCTTCAGTCATAAAATGCAGACCTTCTGATACAAAACAAGCTTTCAGTAAAAACTGGTGTTCAGAATTCTAAAACTATTCTTTATCAAAGAAGGTTGTTAATTTGCAAACTGTAATTAAAATACAAAGTGTCTGAAAAAAGTTCTCTTCTGGTTCAGTGACCTTCTCACTTAACGGTAGGACATTATTCTTGCCTTACTGACAGAACCAAAACCAAAACTCCAAAGCGTATGTGTTTTGCACCAGGAGGTGCTGGTTTGTTACCATCCTGGTAAGAAAGGCACTCAGACTCTGTAAAGTGTCATTTAAAATGTGATTTATTAGAGCTAATGCTATAAAGAAAGAGGATAGTATAGGTAATTTCATATTCCTTCAGGTGCTGGGAACCCCAAGTTGTGCAGCATCAAACAAGCCTATGGCGCATCAAGGTGTGCAGATCCCATCCACGCAAGGGTTACCCCATTTTGGTCATCTGAGCTACCACACCACTTTCCTGGAAGAACACAACTCCATTCATCACTTCTAACATAAAACACAATGGATGTTCACATGAGAAGTTCTCGCTGCGCTTCTAGACAAAGGCAAGGATACACAAGTGGTGTCACCATCAGTAGCAACCGGGGGCTGCCTGTAGGCTCCCCGCAGAGCGGGACCACACCAGCCCACGCATGCTCAGGCTGGCTGACACATGCATCGCTGAAGCCTCCATGTACAAGGATTTTCAGGTCAAGATTGCTACCACACACTCCCACGCTGAGCATTTATCTAAATCACAACCCCAGTCCTATTCTCAGACACTGTTGGTCCCCACAGAGCATCAGCACCACCTCTCCAGGCAGGGTGCTGCAGCTGGGGTGGGCTGGGGTGTGTCTGCTCGTCCTCCAAGTGTGCATCTGAACCACTGAAACACTGGAGGTGAGGGCAAGAAAAACGTCCCCTATGAAGACAGCGAATGTGTGAGATTTGTTATCTGTACTGCTAAAGTCAGACTTAGATTTATCCACTGAAATGCAAAAAAGTTTGTAATACAGAAATCAGAATGTAAAGCCTTAACAAGAACGGTAGTAAACAGGACGACAGAGGGTGGCACGCTGGGAAACACAGAATGCAAGCTCAGCCTGTCTCGCTGCACTCTTTACCAAAGACTTCACAACTTTTCCAATCTATCATTTAAGCAAATAAGGTGAAAAGTTATTCGTGTTGGCCATATTGTATTTCATGTCATGAACACCCACTCAGCGGCTGAAGGCCCACCTTTAGTTTCCTTCTGAGTCAGCTGTGGCATATGTTTTCATTTCTGTAGTTTCAAAGCACTTGTGACAACCTACGAAGGGCAGAAAACCCTGTGCAGCCTCACCTGAAGAAATGGTCCTTTGTTGGCTCTTGCTGGTTGACTTTCAACCATCATGGTTTTCATAATCAATCTCTTGTGATACAAATATTTTTTAACCTTAGCACAGGCAGTTCTAAGATTAATTCTAAGGACAGACGTATTACCATTCTACTTTTTATTTATTGGAACAGTATTAGGTCTTTAAGCCATGCTGGTAGTTTCAGGAATGATAGTAAGTATAAAGAATTTTTAGCAAGGCCTCACTTATGAAAAAAGCATATTTAAAGTTGCTCAGACAATGAAATATTATTTCTGTCGCATAAAAGGCATCTTGAAATAACATGTTTTTGGAAGATGAAAACATGGTGAAACTGGGATGCAACCACAGACAAGGCATCAGCTGTGTTTAGGAGCACTAGTGTAACTTACTACTTGAAAATAATGCTGTTTTAAAAACAAAGTTAACAGCAGTGGCACATGTCTGCAGAAACATGTATACTATTACTCCAGACCAAGTGGCAAAAGAGAAGTTCAAACACCTTCCAAGGGTTCACGCACGCAGTATTGGCAAGCCAACCCCTAGATCAGCATGAGCAAACTCTCAGCCTTGTCGGAGGTATTTTTGTTTTGTATTTTATTGTTGCAAATCTTACAGACATTAGCGCTCTGTTAAATAAAGGAATGTAGCACAGTAAACACATCACAACAAAATAGCTGGTCAGCAATGCCCCACCCCAAACAAAAAGCTCACTCCTCTCCCCCGCTGCCCTCCCCCCCAAATCAAACCACTGCAGCTTCATGACAGAGGCCAGAGACCCGTGGCAAAAAACATCAGAGGAATTACATTCAGTAGATGTGCAGTATCAACATTCCAGGCTCACATATTTTTCATGAACACCCACTCAGCGGCTGAAGGCCCACCTTTAGTTTCCTTCTGAGTCAGCTGTGGCATATGTTTTCATTTCTGTAGTTTCAAAGCACTTGTGACAACCTACGAAGGGCAGAAAACCCTGTGCAGCCTCACCTGAAGAAATGGTCCTTTGTTGGCTCTTGCTGGTTGACTTTCAACCATCATGGTTTTCATAATCAATCTCTTGTGATACAAATATTTTTTAACCTTAGCACAGGCAGTTCTAAGATTAATTCTAAGGACAGACGTATTACCATTCTACTTTTTATTTATTGGAACAGTATTAGGTCTTTAAGCCATGCTGGTAGTTTCAGGAATGATAGTAAGTATAAAGAATTTTTAGCAAGGCCTCACTTATGAAAAAAGCATATTTAAAGTTGCTCAGACAATGAAATATTATTTCTGTCGCATAAAAGGCATCTTGAAATAACATGTTTTTGGAAGATGAAAACATGGTGAAACTGGGATGCAACCACAGACAAGGCATCAGCTGTGTTTAGGAGCACTAGTGTAACTTACTACTTGAAAATAATGCTGTTTTAAAAACAAAGTTAACAGCAGTGGCACATGTCTGCAGAAACATGTATACTATTACTCCAGACCAAGTGGCAAAAGAGAAGTTCAAACACCTTCCAAGGGTTCACGCACGCAGTATTGGCAAGCCAACCCCTAGATCAGCATGAGCAAACTCTCAGCCTTGTCGGAGGTATTTTTGTTTTGTATTTTATTGTTGCAAATCTTACAGACATTAGCGCTCTGTTAAATAAAGGAATGTAGCACAGTAAACACATCACAACAAAATAGCTGGTCAGCAATGCCCCACCCCAAACAAAAAGCTCACTCCTCTCCCCCGCTGCCCTCCCCCCCAAATCAAACCACTGCAGCTTCATGACAGAGGCCAGAGACCCGTGGCAAAAAACATCAGAGGAATTACATTCAGTAGATGTGCAGTATCAACATTCCAGGCTCACATATTTTTATATATATATATTTATATATAGAGATCATTAAATGTTTAAAAAGAACAATATTGTTACAAATACAATACTATACTTTTCCCAACGCTTTACAATAATTTCTATTCACCCTCTTTACAGAACAACAGTACAACTTCATAGTCTAGGTACTGCGCTAAATATGTACAAGAGACCTTAACGACATTGCTGTCTTCAGAAAGACATTTTATTTAGAAAACAAGGAAAGCAGGCAAACTTGGAAATCCCCACTGAGTCTCAAATTCAAACAAGACTCAGAACAAATGAAACTTGCCAATAAAAAAAATATAAGGGATGTTTCATCCTTAATGTAAACACTGAAGAGTTGGTTAGACTGTATGAAGCAGCAAGGATGAAAAAGAACTCAGGTCTGTCACCGAAGAAGGAATGTAAACCAGCAGTTTGTTCCTCTGAGTCTGTTAAAAATTCACATATGTAATCTAACAAACTGCTGCAACAGTCTAGAGAACTGCCGGCTTTCCCTTTAGAGCCGCTTGTTCTTGAAACTCTTTC